ACCGGGTCACAGCAACCGGGCCAGGGCAGAGTGCCATGACGGGCCAGGGCCAGAGCACCGCCAGGGAGGAGCATGGCTCATGGAGGCTGTGGTGAGGGCTCCTGCAATGGGCAGTTGTGGTGCCAGTGCTGAGGGATGGTGGGGCTGCCCCAGGCAGGGCTGGGGACATCCCTGGACACCCCCTCCCTGGGCCCGAGGGCTGTCTGGGGCCAGCCTGTCCTCTGTTGTGGCCCTTCCAGCACCAAAAGAGAGGCCAAAATGTGCCACATCCAGGGAGGTTCCTTCACCTCTGGACCAGCCTGAGGGTCCCTGTGGGGAGCTGCCAGGAGCAGAGGAGGCAACGTCAGAGCTGGGCAGCTCCCTCCAGAAGCTTCAGCCGAAGATGGAGACTGGTTCACCCCAGGTGAGCAGTGCTGAGCCCATTCCCAGCCCAACAGGAGCTGTAGGCTCATGTGGCCAAGTGGAATAGGAAGCCCTGGGCAGGCCTGGCCTGTGCCACCAGACAGCTTGTCCCCCAGGGCGGGAGAAAGCACAAGGGCTCGGGCACATCCCGGCAGCACAGGTCCCACTGCCACCATTTCCCACAGCAGCCACAGCTCCCGCTGGCTCCACAGCAGTGCCGAGAGCCCACAGCATGAGGAGCTCTGCTGTTCGCACGCCCCAGGGCACTGTCAGAACACACACATGGTAGTGCCGCCTGCGGGCGAGCAGTGGGCACCCACCAGTTGTCAACACACTCCATTGCCAATCCCTGACCAAAACCTGGGCTGCCGGCGTTGCTGTCCAGCCCCAGTTCCTGGCAGGAGCTGCACGATGGCCCAGCCACTGCCGTGACCCAGACAGCTGCTGCTCATGCTGTGTTCTAGGGCCAAAAGCAAGCAGCCTGTGGAGCTGAGAGGTGAAAAGGAGCAAGTGGTGAATATGGGGAGTGCGGCTGAGCTCTCCGCTCACGGCAGTTGCTGCCAACAGGGGTCTATGGGACAGATGGGCAACTCCTGGACTGCCCAAGCTCCTGCAAGGCCAGATCAGGATTGTCTCAGCACCACTGCATCACCTCCTCTTCCCTGCCTTTCCTCCAGGCAAGACACACAGGGCAGGATGCAGGAGGAAAACACGTACCTCATGGTCAGAACACAAGAGCAGCACAAGTGTGAGCAGCTGAAGACAAGCCGCCTTCCTGGCACAGCCTGGCCTGAAGCAGGGCTGGGCCTACGGTCCCACATGTACAGAGACCGCGGGGCAGCCGCTGCCAGCCCAGGGGTGCGCGAGAGCCGCCTTCACAGCTGTATAGCCCAGGGCTGGGCCGGGACAGGTTGTCTTTGCCCTCTAGGTCAGTGCAATTCTGTGCCTCGCCCCAGGGTCTACAGGGCAGCAACCTGACAGTACCAGCCCTGCATGACACCGCAGGGCTGCCTCCACCCAGCGCTCGCCTCCAGGACAAGAAGTGGCACAAAACAAAGCAAGGATTAGACGAACAACCTTTAAACAAATAAAGTATTTTCTGTTCTGTAGCAAAATTAGTGCCAAGCACCAAAGCCTTCCTGGGCGACAAGCTATCGGGAGCCTTACAGAGTACAGTGATCAGAGGAGCTGGGCGCTCTCCTAAGGCCCAGCTGCTCCTGGAAGTCTTTAAGCCTCAAAGCAACTGGTGCTGCCTTCTTAGAGGCCAAAGCGGGCTGGGGTGCGTCGTGGCGTCAGCGGCTCCCCCTGCTCCTTCCGCCCAGGGGTGTAGATTTTAGTAGATCTGACAGGAGAGGACAAGGGCGATTAGTGGAATCCGCAGCCTTTCCCTGCACCACAACACCCACGTGGATCCTCCACGCAGCTCGCTGTCCTGCTCTCCAGCAGGCAGCCCAAGCCCGGGCAGGGCCAGCACCTACCTTGAACTGCCCAGCGGGTTACGGCGCTCCTGCTCCTCCCGGCGAGCACGCAGCTGCTCCTCAGCCAAAGCCATCTCTTCCTCCATGGCAGACACCTCCTCCTTGGCACGGCGGCGGTTCTCCTGGAGCAAGGCAGCAGCAGGTCAGGGACCCGCCAAGGGCTGGCCAGCAGCAGACGCTCTGCAGGCCCACAGGCCCGTTTCTTCCGTATCAAAACACACCCCCCCACACACAGAGGCACACACACACACACACGCTCCACACCAGAACAGTCATGCAGTGGGCCTGCTGTGTGCCAGCTCCGCCTGGACAGGAAACTCACCTGTCTTGACTTGCCAGCATGTTTGATGCTGTAGAACATTGGGCCCAGCTCTGCCAGCCACTCTCCATCCACAGCAGTGACACACTGCATGTACTCCTGCAGGGACAGACAGAAAGGCCAGGGGTGCAGGGCGGCACTCTCAGGGCCTGGGCACCACCTCGAGAGTCACGGCAGCTCCCTCCCTGTGCCACTCGCTGCTGACACTTCTCAGGCTAGCGCTACACCCCTTCTAGAGAAATCCTCCCACCCTCAGAAGCTGCTATGGGTTGGACTTGCTGAGACTACAAAGAGGTTCAAAACACATCCCACATAAGCCAGGAAAAAATATTGGGGAAGGGACAAACAGATGTTGTCTGCAGATGACACAGGCATGCCCAGCTAGTATAGATGAGCAAGGCTGAGAACTGCCCTTCTGACAGATCCCGCTCTCACAGCAAAGCCCTCCCATCTTCCTCAGAGCACTCCTCACCCGTGCTGCTAGTCCTCAGCTCACGCTCACCTTGGTGGTCATGACCAGCTCATGGTACACGATGTAGTCTGGTGTGTAGCCCATGCCAAACAGCGAGCTCGTGGGGTGCAGATGGCAGGGCATGCCCGTGCGGATGTTCACGTACTCCCCGATGCCCTGCGAGAGAAGCGCGGTTAGCCCACCTCTTCCCAGACAGGGCCTCAGCCCCCAGACCCGTGCAGACACCTCTCACCTTCAGCTTTGCAGCCTGATGGAAATAGGCAGCACAGATGCACTTCCTGACGACATCCCAGTCAGTACCACAGGACGCCAGGCTCATCCGCTGCTGCACCATGATGTCCTTGAGCTGGGCACGCACCTCCCGCACCTGCAAAGGTGTGTGGCGGTCAGATCCCTCGCTGGTGTAAGGCTCCCTCCCCCAACCGCGCTGCCAGAGCCTCACCTTCCGCATGGCCTTGGCATGGATGAAGTGCTGATTGCACCACAGAGTAGAATAGTTGTTGTTCTTCCACTGCAGGTAGACATTCAGATAAGTCAAATGATCGCTCTCTGGAACCGCAAATTTCTCCCGCACTTGGTCGCTCTCCTCCTCTCGGCCCTGAAGTGTGAGCAAACAACAGTGGTTAGTCAAAAGGCAGGGGAAGGCCCCAAACTGCTGAGAGAGCAAACAGGTACCTTAGGCCGATAGAAGATGGCAGGCACAGACAACATGGAGACAATGAGCAAGATCTCCGAGCTGCAACCCATGTCACAGGAGACAATGAGCATCTTGGAGAGCGCAGGATCCAGTGGGAACTCCACCATGAGACGTCCCGTTGAGGTCAGACCACCTGCAGGAACAGCACGGGGATCAGCAGCCGAGCAGGTCCCAGTCGCACGGGTCGGCCGCTTGCCCCAGCAGCCAGTACCTGTGTTATCCAGGGCACCCAGGATCCAGAGCTGGTACATGGAGTTCAGCATGTTGTCCTCGGGGGGCGGATCCATGAAGTGAAACTGCAGCAGGTCCTGCACGCCCAGGGACTTCAGCAAAAGCACGACGTTAGCGAGGTTAGTGCGCTGGATCTCGGGCACCGTGGTTGTCAGCAGCTCATTCTTGTAGGCGCTCTGGGTGTAGAGCCTGGGGAACAGATGCCAAGAGCGTGAGCATGCTCCTCCCCATCGAGGCCACCACCTTCCTCACCCACTCGCCAGCGCTGCCCAGCCTGGCCCAGCCCACGGTAGCAACTCTGCGCCCAGCCGGACCAGCACCAGGACCCCAGGGAGGGACCTCTCTCTGCCCTAGCACGGAAGGGTGCCTGGGCTGCAGCATGGCATACGCCCCTCCCAGGCACAGCTCTGCCCTGGGCACAGACCAGTCTCAAAGCAAGGCCCTGAGAAAGCTCCCTCTGGCTCGGCTGCGATCCCTAGAGCATCAAGGGTGGAACAGTCACAAGTCCGGATGGACAAGGGAGGAAACTGGAGCCTGTCCTTTCCTCTGCAGAGGCACTGGGCCCAAAGGAGAAGGCCTCTAGGCTTGCCTTCTGCCCTCATGCCCCCAGGGGTTCAAGATAATGAATGGCTCCAGTGAGAAAAAAAATAAAGAAAAAAAAATATATGTACGCACATAGGCTGACGCCAAGCTGCAGGTAGGACAGGAACAGGACCACCAGTGACACCCCTACCTGAAGCAGTGGCCCGGGCCGGTTCGGCCAGCCCGACCTGCCCTCTGATTGGCATTGGCTTGACTGATGGGGTAGATCTGCAGTGCATCCATGCCTATCCGGGGGTTGAAAACCTACAAGGCACAGGAAGAGCAGACTGAAGAGAAAGGCGAGCTCACTGCCACCGAACTCCCTCTACCCAGCCCCAGAGATCAGGGCCACGAGCAGTACAGGAAGTCTCGGCTGACCTTCAACTTGCAGTAGCCGGAGTCGATCACAAACATGATGCCGTCCACGGTCAGGGAGGTCTCCGCAATGTTGGTGGCCACGATGCACTTCCTGACCCCGTCCGGAGCCTGCAAGCACACGGCACGTCAGTCACATCCTGGGCCAGGGCCTCAGCACGGCTGAGGAAGAGTGCGGAGCAGCCACACCGAACCCAGCAGGACAGGGTGACTCTTGGGAAGTTGAGGCGGGGCACACACTTTCCCTCACCATCCTCCACACGCAATACAAAAGGCACGTCTGCCCTCTCACGCACGCTCAGTCTTTCCTGCACTGCTTTCCCTCAGACCCACTCTTGCCAGAGAGCACACATCAGCACCTTCTGGAAGATCTTGGCCTGCAAGTCCGACGGTAGCTGAGAATAGATTGGCAGCACAGCGAGAGCAGGTGCCTTCTCCAGCTCCTCAAGGTGCTCCACAATTTGCTCTGAGGTCACCTAGACACCAAGAGGGGTGTAAACATGAGATCAAAACAACAAAGGGGGCAGGACAGCACACGCCCTTTCAGCTCACCTCTATGTCCTCCTGGCCAGGCATGAAGACGAGGATGTCTCCAGGAGCACCAGACAGATGGACCTGCAGGGCTTGTTTCACTGCAGCCTCCACATAATCCTCTTGTGGGGTCTGAAAGGCACAGCCAAGGTTACAGATGCCAATAACCTCACCTGCTCCATCCCATGTGCGAGACGGCATCATGGCACAGCTCCTCCTCCTCTGTCCTTCCTGCACCCGCCACAGAGTACGGTACACCTGAGTCACAACCCTCTCCTGTCACAACACAACTCCTCCCTGCCACGTTGATCGTACCTTGCTGAACAGAATATCAACAGGGAAAGTGCGTCCAGGAATGTGGAAAATTGGAACGTTCCCAAAAAAAGAGGCAAATTTATCTGCATCCATGGTGGCCGAGGTGACAACAAGCTTCAGATCTGAGCGTCGGGCCACCACCTAGAAAGCAGATGAAAGGAACAGTAAGGAAGAGGCATTCATGCGTGGCTGCAGGCTGCTTCCAGTCTTCCTGAGACAACAGGACAGGACAGAGCATTTGCTGTGCTCCAGAGGCACTGGCCACTAACACCGGGGAACACAAATGCTGTTTGATGTGTGCAGTTAGAGATTCGCTGACCTCAGTCCGGGCAGCCTCGAGCCAGCAAAGATCTCTGTACCTACAGTTTCTGACTGTCAGCCAGCACGCCTCTGGCAGCACTCAGGCACTAGGGAAGGAGATTTAAGCCCCCAGAACCAGGGACCAGGACACTGGAGCAGCAAGTGCAGACACAGCCGTGGCAGCTCTGCCTTCCTCTCCCACACCTGGTGGAGAAGGGCTGTCTGTGCTTGAAGACCAGCTCACGTGTCCTGCGCTCCCATCCTCTAGCCCAGGCTCACACACACCTCTCGGAGCAGGCCAAAGAGCACGTCGGTATTGAGCGAACGCTCATGTGCCTCATCCATGATGATAGCGCTGTAGTTGTCCAGGTCAGCCTCTCGCAGCGACTCACGAAGGAGGATTCCATCCGTCATGTACTTGATCACCGTGTTCTCAGACGTGCAGTCCTCAAAGCGGATGGCGTAGCCCACCTGGGAGGGCAGAGACACCAGAGACTCTTCCAACAGCCCCACACATTTGCTGTCACCCGGCTGCACCCCGCGTCCACGGCACTCACCTCCTCTCCCAGCCGCACGCCCATCTCCTCGCTGACCCGCTTGGCCACTGACATTGCCGCCACTCTGCGGGGCTGGGTGCCGCCGATCATGCCGTAGTCCGTGTAGCCGTCCTCGTGGAGGTACTGCGTCAGCTGGGTCGTCTTCCCGCTGCCCGTCTCCCCCACCACAATCACAATGCTGTTGTCTCTGGAGAAAGGGAAAAAGCATTTCTTCATGCACCACAAAGAAGGGCTTTTGCCCTCGTGGTCCTGGCCGGCTGCCCAAGTGCCGTCCTACCCAGGCAGCAGAGCTGTCACCAGTCACACCCAGTGACAGGCTTCGCTCCCAGGCGGCCCGTCTATCTTACAGAACTTCTCACTCGGGTTCCCAAGATGTGGGGACGCTCCGTGACCAGCTTCCTGGCAGCCGTACCTGAGGATGGAAAGCAGCTCCTGCTGCACAGCAAAGATGGGCAGATACTGCCTCTGCTCCAGGATTGATTTCTTCTTGGCAAACTCGCTGCTGGCTTCACTTTTCTCTTTCATATGTTCGGCAAACTTCTGCTCAGTCCTAAGGAAACATCAGAAGTCCTGAAACTGCCTCTTGATGCTTTTTGCTATGCCCACAACTCCCATCACCAGCTGAGCAGGAATAACTCAAAGCAAGCTCCTACTTGTAATCCACTTTGCCATCTTCTGTCACCATCTCATCCTTCTCCTCCTCTTTCTTGATCCCCATAATGTCTCCCAGCTTTGTGCCTGCCAGCTCCCAGTGCTTATGCTGAGCCTGGAAGGACAGAGACCAGCGTAACTTTGCTGAGCAAGCACTGTCACATCATTCTTATCCAGTGCTACCCATAGGACCACGATACAGCACATTAGCAATTCCCCAGGGCTACGATACAGAACGCACACCCCATTCCTACACCAACCTCCCCTCTTCCAAGCGAACCGGAGCAGAAATTTTAGACACTTGTCTGGACACAGAGACTTCAGGCACAGGATGACCAACCACCTCTTAAGAAAATTATTCCAGTTGCTGACTCTTCCATTACACTTAAACTCACGCAAACTTGAACAGGGACAATCTTCCTGCTCTTGACAGGTGCTCGCAGGCCTCTCTCCCCCATATTCCTGCTTGCTCTCACCTGATACCAGTTCAGCTTCCACCTCCACTCCATTCACAGCACACAGACCTCAAATCCAGCTCAGTTTCAATTTACAAGGAACACACCTGTGCTTTCCCCACAGCAACCCTATTAAGTTTTAGAGAAATTCCCTAGAGAACACCTCCAAAACGTAACACGCTACCTCACTGCATACTCCTCCTCACAGCTCTTCTGCTGAGACTGGACAAGATAAATTCTGCTGCCACACTGAGCACGGGCTGGCCCTAAGCTACCTTGCATTATTCCACCTGCTCTCTTCTCCCACGATCTAAACATCCTTTGGATCAGGCTCCTCTGCAAAAGCGACCAGTTGATTCATATCCCCGGCAGCGCCCGAGGAAATCCCATCACAGCAGCTGCTTAGAAGCAAGACGACGAGCTGGGCTGCCAGGATACCCCAGGTCATAAAATATGAACTCCTGATCATCACTGCTGCCATTTCTGCACCCTCCAAACACAGGCTGTGAGGTACCACACAGCATGCGGACAGCGGGGTAGTAAGGCAAAGGTCACAGCATACCCTCTTACGCTCCTTCTGCTCCCTGTGCTTGCGCACCAACTGGCTGCCTTTCCGGGCTATGATGGCCAAGTCTGAGGTGGCATCCTTGACAGGGATGACTGGCTCTGGCTAGAGGAAAGACGTGTTGCTTCAGTACAGAGAGCTCAGGCTTGCGGGGCTCCCTGCTGTCAGCATCTCCAGCCGCAGCGACTACCTGCTTGGTGAAGACAATCCTTCCGTCTAGGAAAGGGGGCACCAGGTTGTGCACCAACAGATGCACTTTAGCGGAGTTGTCCTCCTCAAAATCTTCATCCACTTCAATCCGATGAACCACACCACTGGTCAGCATGCGATTCGTCTCCCAGCGCTCATTATCCTGCAGGAAACAACATATCAGAAAAC